TAACTACGAGGTGCCTAAACATTCTGTATCATGATAGCTTGTTTCTCTTCTTAACCCAGTGGCACATAAGGAGACAAAAGATAATGGGAGTAAAACCCCACATAACATTGTATATTATATAAAAGGGTTTCAGGACAGATGAAGAAGTGTGAAACTTTACTTTTCCCTGGTCTTCTGTAAAAACATAAAGGGTACCTCACCTGTGATCCCGTCCATCCCCTGTTGTAGTTAAATACAATTTTACCACACATGAGAAACACTAGCAAGAGAATTGTCTCTATCATTTCTTCCCCTTTCCTGGTTCCACCAGAACATACTGATCCCCAGATGACACAGAAATCATGGACACTGAATCCCATCCATTTAACTTCTAGAAAGGTAAAATAATGTTTGCCAGGGAAAAAAAATATATATATATGTGTGTGTGTGTGTGTGTGTATACACTCTGTTTATGAGACGATCAAATAGATTTACCAAGTTCTTAACTACTCCCAAAAGTTTCACAGATCAAATGTTCCTGGATGCTGCCACGCATAGACACGCACAAAAAGAGGAGGTCTTCATGTTCCTGGGAAGACTGCATTAACATGTTCATGTTTTGGCCATGGCAAATAACAGACCAAAACTTAAAACTCTTTCTGCAACTTGATACATGTCATTTCTTATAGGTAAAGGAAATCTTTAAGGATACTATATAGAGATGACAAGAGGCATGTTCAAGATCTATGGCAACACATGGCCAGAGATATGTTCTAAGTTGTCAAAGAAGAGCCCTCATTTACATGTTGAACTTGGCTAAATCTGCGTTGGTTTCGGTAGTGTCTGCTTTTAGCCAAAAGGAGGTTCATAAGGTACAAGCATAAGCTCTGCCAAACTGATGTGTTACAAAGTTTAGTTCTGTACCTCTTTGGTCTCTCCACAGCTACCTGGAAAATCACTGCATTAGTTATTCTTACTGCACAACTCCATTTCATCTCCTGTCTGTAGTCTAGATCTGTCTATCACTCAGGGCTGACCATGCTCAATTTTCTTTTTTTCCATTGCTATAATTTTTTACCATTCCCTTATGGAAAAAAATAAAATAAAATTAAAAAAAAAGAACCCCAAAACACACAAAAAACCCTAGCAGTTTTCTATAATTTTAATTCCCTTCCAGCTGTTTCCTGTATTTGCCAAAAGCCTTCTCTGTTCCATTCTCAAAGCACTTTAGGATATATTGAAATTCAAAGTAGAGCTGTTAAGACTTCACCCAGCATGGCCTGCATCTTGCATAAATAGCTGTTATGTTTTTTAAAATGTTACTACTCTTTTAACAGAACATTAAATGTCATTGTGGATTTGTCGGGTTCACGTACTACGTGGTTCCTGGGGGATGCATCAAATTGCACGGTACTGGTCCTCCACCATTCAGCCTAGAGAAGGTGGTCTGATACAAGAGATGGAGATGGGGAAATAATTACTTGGTGAGCTTTGTGGGCAGCTGCAATAACCGGGCAGAGAGAAGAGAAGCTGGATGGGTCTGTCTGTTTCCTCTTGTTGCTCTGCTCTCACAGAGCTTTCCAGAAGAAAACACCTTTGAGTCTTTCCTCAATTGTCAGTCAACCGGGAAGGACTCTTAGCTAGTCTGCATGATGACCCAAATGGGAAATGCTGCCTGTTCACTTTCCTCCTTGATGGCTCCCTGACAGCGGCATACAGCAATCAGGCTGAGGGAAGCCAAAGGTTGTGCAAATACAAGCCACTCTGTTCTGTAAGTGCCACAGTTGTCCTCCATTCCCTCACTTCTCATCCCAGCTAGGTTACTGCACCCATGCATCATCTCCCAAAAGCTGCCCTCATCAGCTGCGGTTCTACCTTCTGGATGCTGCTTCCCCCAGCAACTCCATCAGCCTTTACCTGGAAGGTCTGTCTCTTCCCAGGGCAGGTCTGACTCATTTGACTCGCCTGGAGCTGGGGTCCTTTTACAGGTTTCAGAAAAGGCTCCCTCTGAATGATTTATATGGTTCCATGGCAAGTGAGAACCACAGCCACCAAAAACAATGGATGCAAACCCCAGCCTCACACCACACACCTGCCATTGCTCCCATTCACACTGCAATCATCCTTAGGAACAGAGCCCTGGTCCCACAGCTGAACTACTGGAAGTCTAAGTACAGGCTGGAAGCATGAGATTATTAAGAAAATTAGCCAAAAAGAAAATTTAGGTCTATGACTAAATTAATCCCCAGATTAATGCTATCAAAGCAAATGGTGTTTATAGAAAGTCCTGTTTTCTTTATATTCATGTAAGAAAAAATCAAAAGACTGTTAAAGGCAAATTTCATCTAGCAGAATTAAAAAAAAAAGAGCATGGGGACAAAGCTGTAATTACTGGTATTTCCTATCTGTTGGAACCTGTGGGTGGAAAGAGAGGCAGTGAATAAAGTATATTCAATGGCATTAAAATCCATTTCTTTTTCTGGACTTCAGCTCAACACTACAAATTAGCAGGGAGAAAATAAGCCTCAGAGTGAACAGGAAGAGAAGCCAACTTCTTCGTGTTACCCTTTGGTGTTGGGAAACAAAAAAGCATTTTTTCCTTCAAGAATTCAAATTCCTAGCAACCCAAACTACAGCTGCATGCTGACAAGAAGAGAACATATGACAGATCTCAAGAGGTTCAGTGCTCGTGTGTCCACACACACACTAACACATAGTACTATTATCCCGGTTTCCTTTCTGAACATGTTATTTTAATGAAGAGAGGACAGGCATGCTACTTAATTAACTCCTGCTTTCTAAAAAGACATTCTGACCCAGATTCATCATGCTCCAATTTAGGCACCTGCAGAGGTACCTGACTTTAGAGCATCCCGTATACAGTCAGTAGGAGGGATAAGACCCTCCCGATCATGATTCAGACCACAGCAATGAGAATTGCCACTGCTCAGCACCCAGCTCTTTCTGCAAACTATTGCAGGTACTTAGGATAGCTGTGCTCCTAAATCAGCCATTTCACAGACCTAGGAAGGATAATTCCAGACCCTAACATATCTCTGCTGTCACTGTCATCCCACGTGCAAATTTCTCTTTTAAGCAATAGCTGTTATTTGACTGAATGCCTATAGAAAAATAGGCACAATTAAACCATGCTTTTCTTACAGTGAAAAAAATGTATCTTGCTGTTTGAGATCACTGCATAGACCTGGATTAGTCTGAAGAAGTCCCATGTCGTAAAATGTTTACTTATTTACGAATTTATTTTCACAATAGCTAATGAATTGCATTGTTTGTGGCTACATTTTCTTTAAAGGTTTAAAAGTATAAGTGAAAATGGATGAGATGTAGCTAAGATAAAAACTGGTGTATTATTATGAATAGTAATAGCAATAGTCGTATTAATGTTGTTGGGTAATAATGTAGGGTTGATTGGTTGCTCTGTAAACAAGAAATTTGTGCTGAAGCATCTACCCTTAAATATCTGCCAGTCCATTATTCCCAAACCCACCTAAAATAGTGTGAGCTATAGTAGGAAATTCTACTTTGAATAAAATGATAGTTTTAACTATTAGGTTTTTAATGGCTTTAACACATCATGTTCTTACACGCAACAGTATTGATTTGTGCTAGATTACTGTTCAAGGTGGATTTTTGTCTTAACCATTCTAGAATGTGATTTAGTATTTAATTAATACTGCTTCAGTCAAGCGAGATATGTCACTGGAGCAACACATTTCCTAAACATTTTTGTACATTTGGGTTATATTTTCACTTTACTCACTGGAATCCTCTAGTGATTATTGAGCCTTAAATGAAAACCAGTAAACAAGAAACGTCTTGTTCTCCTCTGCATTTCTCTCACTATGCACGCACAATCGCACACACGATCACACACACCACTATCGCTCTTACCCTGTTCTTGGTTGGCCTTGCTCACTGTCAAATCTAAGGCCAGCCTGTGATCCTGTATCAATTGCAGCAGGACATTAAAAGGGTGCACAGTGCTTCACAGAGACACCCTCCCCAACGCTGGGGCCAGGCTTTCAATTCTGAATTCTTCAGAGAAAGGATTGCATATTTGTGTATGGGGATTTTGTCCAGTACTGTCAGAATTACAAATAAGATGTTGGGTTTTGGTTTTTTTTTGCCTACTGAACTTTGGCATGTCTTGATGCACGGTTTTAATCTTCAGAATCCTACCTGAGCAACATACGTGTGGATTAAAGCATCCAAAGGAACGAGTCAGGTTCAGCCCTTTTTAGAACATGTCTTCTGTTTAAGATTTAACTGTGATTCATAGTTAATTATTTTGGGCTTGTCACCATGGTACTAACACAAAATCCCCAGAAATACCAAGTGATTTCTGAAACCTGCCACGACTCTCAGATAGCCACCACAAAGCCACACTAGCTAGTTTAGCATCAGCTTGAGGAGATACCCTATATGCAGTGCTCAGGTGTGCTTTACCTTGGCTCCAGAGCTGATTTGGGCAATATTATCATACCAGCCACTTAGTTTTTTCCATCTTTCATCCCAGCCACTGTCTCTAAGCACAGGCCAAGCTTGTCTTTAGCACTGGAGACCTGATGGAGACTCAGCCCATCCCCAAGTCAGGAAATCTTCCTTCCACCTCTCAGAAGCACAGCCCTAGCACTGTAAGGTGATAATGCTAGATGTGGGGAGCAGAGCTAAGTCCCCGGCGCAACGTCTGCCAGACTCTCAGCTGGCATGCACGGCCTCGCTGCCTCTTGATGTGTGCCAGCTAGAGAGGTCAAAACAAGCAGGCTGCACACTGGGCTTCTCTTTTCTCCCTCTTTTTCCTCTTCCGTGGAGCAGTCAGCACCCACCGCATTTCTTTAAATGCAGTTGGCCCATCTCGGTTAGTTTGTCGTGTAAAACTTGTTCAGGATTTCTGAGGGAGCTGATGTGTCTTGGCGAGCGGATGTGTTTTTAAAGAAAAAGATGAGCCACCTACAATTTCTAGAGGTCCTCTCAGGAAGTTTGCATTCTCTCTTTTCCAGGGAGCATTTACTTTCCAAGGAAGCATGATCGACATGCCATTACTGAAGCAGGCACAGAACATTGTTACGCTTGCCACAGCCATCAAGAAAAAATGAGCTGGTAAATGAAGCTCTCGCCATGGGGCCCCAGTAGCTGTTTTAAAAGATGAATATAATACTGGGGGGAGGTAAAAAAAATTTAAGATGTCAAGCTTAAGCCGAAATCCATTTCCATTTTGCAGATCTGTCATAGCCTGCTTGCCAGAACTGCTAATTGCTAAAACTGTTCCCACTGCTCACTTCTGCACAGCCCATGTACTACTCATAACCTACAACGAAGTTACATCATCAACTGTATGACATCATGATAATTACTATGAATATGGGACAATGACTTCACTGAAGGAGAAAGGCAAAACATAAGCTATGAGCTCTGTTAAAAAAAAGTGGATGAAAACCGAGTCAATCACTTCTATTTGTATCTACAATTCTTCCCGCTCCAGCACAGAACTCCTGGCAGAAAGGGCAAAGCCTTGAATAATTACGGACCAGTTGAAATAATCGAGATGAAAATCATTACCCTGTGCAGGCTTCGCATCCCTTCCCTTCGCTCTCCTCCCCCCCTTCTGTAAATGTTCAACAGCCATTAAAAATACTGCTCTGACAACGCAGGACTCTTGACTTTCTTCCCTTTTTTTAAGTGGTTGCTATTCAGAGCGTTTCCTCCTGGAAGCATCCAGCCTGGGAAGGGCTGGACAGCAATAAACTTGTAGTTTTCGGAGACACAATGCAGCAGAACTTGTGCATATGGTCTCGAGTCAGATTTACATCACATTAGGGATACGGCTACAGATCATGTGGGCCGTGTGGTTAACGGGCTTAGTAAAGCTGTTTTGAAGAGGTTAACCCAGCTTGTAGTAAGGGTAAATAAACATAACAACCAGGCATTGTCCTCTATTCAGCATGTACTCTTATATGGAGGGCTAAAGGGTATTGAAGCTGCAGAGGATCAACTTGTGGTTGCCAGAGGACTCCAATGAAGTTTGAAACACCAACAATCAGAGATTTTGTTTCTGTTCCTCATTAAATCATGAGCTTTTGTGCTCAGACCATGAACGACTGTTCTTTAAGAAATTAACAGAATGGGAAGTTTTAAACTATGCACCAACCTTTTCATGACCTACACAGCAGCAACGCTGCTGCACTTAGACAAACACCGCGGGGAAGGCTGTTCTGTTTATTTAAATTTGTAAATAGAAAACAGTTGTTTTTTAGTTTCATTTTTCACCGCCTCCATGGCCATTTTATGTAGGGAGTCACAGTGGCTCATTCCTCCCATCTGCTCGCTTAGCGTGTTTCCCCTCCATCTCTGAGCAGCACTTTAAAACATTTTTGGGTTATTTTGGGTTTAATTAAGAAGAGAAGAAAGAAGGAGAAAGGGAAGAAGAGGTGGGGGGGTGGGGAGGAGCGCCCAAACCACCGACCAGGAATCACCAAGGAGAGGGATCCCGGGGGAAGGTGGAGGGGAAGCCCCGGGGTGAAGAGGGGAGTCCTCCCGGGGCCGCCCAGAGAGGATGGTACCGATGGAGCAGCTGCAGACACCCCCCCTCCAGCACCCCATGGACCCTCCGCGGGGTTTTGGGGGTGAACAGCGCTGACCGACACACCCCAAAACCCCGACTCCCCCCCCTCCCCAATAAGGGTCCTGTCCGAGGGCGGCGCGCCGGGTGATCCCTTCCAGCGCGGGGACCTCCAGGATAATCTGATTAATTAAAGACTACCTGGTTCTATTGCCCCTTCCCCCCCACACCCCTCCCCGTGCACCCTCCATTATTAATTCTTGGCTGAGTAAATTATGGGTAACGCTATTAAAACATTATCAGAACTAATGAGAAACAATTACTTTAGAAGATGAGCTGGGACAAGCCGGAGTGGGGCACATGTGTACTCATCCCCACAGATTGCGTTAATAAATCATCAGGTGCAAGGCAAGGCGGAGGCGAGGCCTGGCGCAGGGCACGGAGAAGAAGATATATGAGATTTTGGGGCTGGGTGTTTTTTTTTTAATCTATTTTGCTTTTTTTGCATAATTTTGTCATTAATCTCAATAGGAACCCGTGTGGCGTAGATTGGTTTATTCCCTTAATACAGCCCCCGGGGGATGGGGGGGAAAAAGGAGAGGATTTCAGTAAAATGAACGTCTTCATTGCCGCACTGGAGTCTGGATGCCCACGCGTGAGAAGCGCGCGGGAGCTGCGCGGCCGCGTAGGGCAGCGCGGGAGGCGGCGGAGGAGCCCGAACCCCGCCCGGCTCCTCCGCTCCCTCCTTAAACCATCCGAGAAGCAGCAGTGACATGAATGAGCTCTCCCGAGGTGCTGACGCGCAACCTCCGCAGCCTGCGGATCTGCGCGGGGAACTTTGTGAGCCGGCCGCGGGGAAATCGAATATGCAAAGAAAATGTTGGATGTATTCGGATTTCTCCCTAAATTTCCCTGACACCCCTTCCCCCAGCGGAAAATCCTGCTTCCGTGTAAAGATTTCTGCTTTATAAAAATTAAAATCCAATTTATTTGGGTTTTTTTCGTTTACTTTAGGAAGCTTTCTTTTTTCTTTTTTTCTTTTTTTTCTCTTTTTTTTTTTTTTCCGGCTTTATTCTTCACCTCTTTCTTTCTGTTTCTTTCCTTCTTTTCCTTTCCCGCCTGGTGCTGGGCAAGCAATTGATGAAACAAAACAGATTATAAGATTAGCAGCAGGATTTTGTGCATATTAATGATAGGGAAGGGCACCGAATGGGTTTGTAATTGCAGATCTTGCGCTCGGGATTGGGAACTGTAGCCCTGCCACAGCAAAGACCCCCCTGTGAGGTTTTCACCGTGGAACTTAGGGGAAAAGTGAAAAAAGTAATTACCAGAGCACAACACTGAAATGCTAAAGCACTTATTCTTTCTTTCACCGTTCTGTTTTAAAGGCGGAAAACGGGCAAAATGGAAAAGAAATTACTTTCAAATAAGTAGGTTAGCACCTGAATGCTGGTGCGAATTTTCTCGTCTTTTTCTTTATTTTTTTTCCCTTCTTTTTTTTTTTTTTAATGCCCTCTCTCCCTTTTTTTTTTTTTTTTTCCTCTTTTCCTCTCTCCAAAATTCTAGCAATTATTTAGCAGATCATTTGCTTCTGAACCTACCATCCAAGCAGCAGAAACAGGGGAAGGGAGGGCAGGGAGAACTCGGGAACACAGGGACACTCCGCATGTGAGGTTGGAAGCAAATACCGCTAGGAAAGCTGTTCAAAGCTGCAGTTTGAAATGTAGAGGGATTTTTTGTTGCTGTTGGGGTTTGTGGAGCCTTTTTTTCCGTTTCTTTTTCTTTTGGTTTTGTTTTGAAATCGGGGCTTGAAAGGAAAAGATTGTTTTGGTTTCCTCTCCGACACAAGCATCAAACGGTATTTTAGCAAAGGGATGCATTTCACAACCACAAATCCCTCCCAGGAACGGCATGTTCCCTGCAATATCGAGAAGTAACCCGACACTGAATTTTAACTCTTATTAAGGGTCCTTCCTTGTTTCTTGGGCTGCTTCAGTCCGCCCCCGAACTGACTCTTCCTGAAATCTGGGGTTTGACGCTCAAAACGCACTGCTCCTTTGCTGACTTTCCTAATCCTTTTCTCCCGTGATTAACAGCCAAAGGTGGCTCAGGTTTAATGGGTACCTACTCGCACGTATTGTTTTAATTCTGCTTTCAACGGAAAATAAATGTATCTGGTGGAAATTAGACTTTGAAAACTTTTTTCTTTCTTTTTTCTTTTTTTTTCTTTTACGAGCCAGTAAAATGGAGTACCTGCTCCTCAGGCAGTAATTCCTGATTTCAAATTGGGGGGGGTGGGGGGGTGGGGGGGAAGAATTAAAATTAAAAAAAAAAGAAGAAAGAAAACTTTTCTTTTTTACCACATTTCAACCATCACATTGCCCCAAACCTCTTCTCCCACCTTCATTTTCCTCAGGTTCAGGGATTGACAAAGTCCCGGGACAGACCTGTTTTTTAACTGCTATTTTAAAGGTAAGGAAGAGGAGGAGAAGGGAATAAGAGCCCCCGAGGGCAGCATATTATTTTCTGGTTTTCCCTGTGAAATCCGCAGAGGGGAGTCCCGGGTCAGGGAGGGCTGTGGGCCGTTTTGGGGGGCTGGCATCTGACTGATGGGGGGGAGTCTTCCTCTCCTGGGGTGGAGAAGCTGCCAAGCTGCCAGCAGTTCCCAGAGTGGCAGGAGGGGACTCCCCAGTGCCCCACACCACCACGGGGACTAGATGGGTGGATGGATCAGTGAATGGAGGGCACCCCTTGTCACCTCAGGGTCCAGGACAACCCCTTGCCTTCTTGGGCTGCTGCCAGGAGTCCTGAGCACCATGGGGAAGGAGGAAGAGAGAAAGGCAAAGGAGGAAAGAGTGCCTTAATCACAGACCTTGCTCAACCACCAGAATGATTTCCTCCTACTGCCCCATGCCCACAGCACCCTTTCAGCCAGAACTTATGAAAAAGCCACTTGCAGAGGCACACCAACATCAGCCTGGCATCAGTGGTGCCTGCAAGGACCAGCAAAGAAATAAGTGCCTTCCATTTCCATCACACTTCCTTCCCCTTCACAGTCTCAACTGGGTCTCCTTGTCCCCTCAAGTGCACCCCAGGCATCTCTGATACTGGCAGTGAGTTTCCCTCACTGGGAACAGGAGGGGAGGCTTTCCTCCCCTCTTCCAGGGGTGCAGGAAATGGAATGTAAAGTGGAAATGTCCTGCATGTAGGCATACAGCAAGCAGGAGAGAGATCAGATATCCTCACTATGTCTGGAGTTATTTCTTCACAAATTGAACCTGAAGCTCCTGAATCTGTAACAAAGCCAATAGCACCATAAAGTGCTGCTCAGAATGTCTTCAGAAATGCGGGAGGCCTGATTCCTAAAGATGTTGTAGGTGCCCACTGCCTGCTGGCATCATTTGAACTTGATCATCCTGGTGAGAAGGAGGAGTGCTAAATGCCTTTGCTACCTTCTTAGAATGCTCTAATTTAAAGTGTGACTCCACCTAGCTTATAGTTTTATTCCCATTTCTGCCACCATTGCTAATGTTACTGTGGTATCAAGCACATGCATCAATTAGGAATTTTACAAAGTGAAGCTTGCTAAAGATTAAAACATTGTCCCTTTGTGAGACATGCCTGCAATAGCCTAGAATTTATGGGACACATGCTCATGCTGCTGGAAAGACCTGGTCTAGACTTCCTGATACTTGGCTTCATTTCTGGCTTGCTTTTACAGTAGTCAGTAGTCCCCAGTATACATCGGTGTTTATGCAGGTCTGGTACACTGTGGGATGTCACTGGAAATGCTTTATGTTAACCTGCATGTCCTGCCCTGTGTAAAAATGCAGCTCAAGCAGTCAGTAGTACATGTATTGCTGCAAATTTGACCATCACTGACAGCTCTGTCTCCAGTTTTGTCACCCAGGGGCCTGTGGTTGGATAATACAGAATTAAGTTCTTGCCAGTGAGGGAGAAAACAGCAGCAGAAGATGTGCAAGGGCTGTACAGTGAACAAAATCACTTCTATTTTCTTCAATCATCAACACTTGGGCTGTCAGGGAAGGGCTTGTGTTTTACTTTAAAGTGCTGAAAGAAGGTCCCCCAGGTCTGTGGTACTCAGAGTGCAGGGAAGAGCTGTGCTTTCTGCCCATGGATGCCCCAGAAGGAGCTCACCCTGCAAAGGCTGCCCATCACTGTCACATCTCAACCCCAGCACTTGCGCGACTGCTGGGGTACTCACAGAAGCCTACCTGTTCCTTTGAAAGCATTCAGGCACTTTCAGCTCTGCATCATGATGCTTTACTCACAGACTACTTAAAATACATAGTAGGTATAGACATCTATTGCTTCCTTTAGAGTCAGTTTTGAAAAAGCAGCTCCTCCTGAAAGAAAAGGCCACTCCTGTACTAAAGGCAAAATCTGTACTGTTGCAGGTCTAAGATTTTTCCAAGGAATTACAAAATCCAGAGGTGAACTGGATTAGCTGACTTCATATGGATTATTTGGTGTCTAATACTCTGTTTGATACTAAGAATATGCCCAATTTATAGAAAAAGGCACGCAGTAAGTTCAGTAATAAACTTAAATTTGTCTCTACATTGTAGCTCTATTAGGCATTTCTTTCTTTAATGATTAACTAGCATTTGTGAGAGTGAGTATGTGAGGGCAATGTGTACAGTGCACGTTTGCTATCAAAGCCAAGGGAAATAAGTGTGTCTTTGTGCCTAGGTTCTCCTGGAGCACGCATGTTCCCGACTATAGGCAGACAGAGAAAATTGGAAGGCTGTCCCATTTCACGTGGAGGGGAGATGTAAAGATCTATGCTTGGTTCCTGGCCTTGCTCCCCCATTACTGACATCAGTTTGTGTCAAGTTTACCAAAAAATCCCTGCTGCTGTAACACTCCATTTGAGAGGCGGGGGGGGGGCCCCCCCCAAGGATAATAAACTTTTTTTTAATTGCTTCCCTGGCTATAAATTAGTATGCATTGGGCTTTTTTTTTTCCATGAACAAAAGCACAATTGACAGTGAGGCTTAGGGAAAGTAGGGAGGGAGCTCTGAGCCCCAAGGCTCCCCTGTGTATTGAACCTGAGCAGGGGGAGGCCTTGTCTGTGCCCAGAAGTTGAAGGGCACTGAGAACTACAACAAAACAATGGGGATTTTTATGTTTCACTGACTGTTTTTGCAGCTGCATCTTTCCCCCTCCTCTTCTCTCCCCTCACTATTTCATGTGAGAACCAAGTATGAAAATAGAAGCCATGGCTTTCCCTCCTGCCACAGCCAGTGTACAGAAAATGGGGCCAGAAATCAAAAGATCTGAAGTTAGTTATACGTCACTGTTACGGGCAAAGCAGAAATTGTTTTGTGCTTCTACAACATATTTTGTTTCTGTTAACATAAGCATAAAGACAGGGCTGAAGCCCACCAACTGCACTGCAGGTTCAATGCGATCATCTTCGCATCCCTGAGGTTCCCGATGACATTTGGGGAGGAGCTGGCAGAACCCACTGAGTTCTGCCTCTACGGCTTCCCCTCCATGCACATCTCCCATTCAGCTTTAGAATATCTGATAACCATGTCTTCCATGGTAAAAGCTCATATAAGGTGATTTTTCTCTGGAGCTGTATGTGGAAGCCCTTATGCTACTTCTCTGGTGCATCCAGTCACCAACCTGAACAAAGAGACAACTACAGGAAGTAGACAGGTATGAACCAGAAGTTGCAGAGCAGATGTTAGCAGAGATGGAGCCTGAGAGGTAGGGAAATAACAGTGGAGTCTGACAGAGAAATGTCTGAGGGATGGGGATAGAGAGGGCAGGTGCATGTCCATCCTCTCATACTCTGCAGTGGAGTCACCTATTCTTCTTGGCATCCGTAGGCAAAAGGATAGGCAGAAATCAGTTTAATTTGCAGCAAAGGGAAGTGTGAAGATCTTCATTATTTTGTAAAACCAAAAAAGGTATCTAATTGCACAATGAGGTAAGTCATTAAAGGAAAAAGATGAGGTTTCTTTAGAGCAGGCTAGGTAAACATCTGCTACAGGGCCTTCATGAGGGAGGCGGATCAGGTGAACCCTGAGGTCTTTTCTAGTCTTTTTTTTATGCTACAGCATATTTTTTAATGCTATAAAATGCACAGAGATGCAACAAAAAAATGAGAGAAAGAGGAACAAGCAAAGAATAGAAACTCACTTTCCTGCCCCTATACTTTGTTAAGCTGTATTTGCACCTTAGCCTCCAGCCTAAGCATCTACACCAATGAACGTTTACCCCCTTTGAAAACTTTATTCTATCCTTCTCTTTCTTTCTTTCTTTCTTCCTTCCCATCTTCCTCTCCCCCCCACCCCCACCCCCCACCCCAATCAGGAAGGCCTGCAACACTGCTATTTAGAGAGATGAAAAAGTCTTTATATTTTCATGGAGCCTTCCTGACTTCCTCCATGTTCTTCTTAACTCAGTGCACCTTTGCCTCAGGAACCAAAGATACCCAACTGTGGTGGGCTCGAAAACCAGGGGGATGGTCTTCTGAACAGACAGGTACCCTGCCTCATCCACCATGCATTCACCTGCAGAGACGGTCTGTCTCCTGAGGCACTCTCCCCTACCATTTATAAGAAGCCGTGTGTGAAGGGCCTTCTCCCATACGTGCGTCAACCCCTATTCAAGCCAGAAAGCCCAGTAGATGCTAAAGGTGTAACTGGGCAGTTGTGACTCCCAAGGTATGTTTCCTAACAGGTACCGATTTCATGTATCAGAGACACAGCAATGAATCCAGAGCACCAGCTCTGTCATGTTAAGGCACACTCCTCCTGCTGCTGCTCAGGTTCTGACAAGGTTTATATCCTTTAAAACCTTTTTTTTTTTTTTAAGTTTGCATCTTATTTTAAAATAAATTTCCCCCAGATGCAATATCAGTTCCAAGAGGCAAATAATTTTTCTCATTGTATTATAGAATAGAACATTTGCAAAAATCATTGCAATTCTCATATTTGAATCAATTTCAGACCAGTGTCCTGTTATCAGAGGCTGTCAGTGGGGTTTTGGTATTATTTTGGTTGATTTTTAAAGTGGTGCATTCTCTGCTGTTATGATTGAATTGCCTGAAACATCTTGTTTGCAGAGCTGTGAAATATTTTAAAGGCATCAATTGAAATGATGAGGCATTGTCCAAATTGAAATTTATTTCATCCAAAAGTGTCCTGGACATCCAGGTGGTAATAAACATTTTTCAGCCACGTACAAACTGTGAATTGTATTTGAAATTAAATCTCCGCATTAAAATCTGCATTGCTGAGCCTCCCGCTGGCAGCCACCGTTCTTCGGAAAACTGACATCTTCCCTGGCACCGACGGGGCAGGAGTTCTCATGTGGATATTGCGGATTTCCTACCACTCTTCAAGTATCAGGACTTTATGGCAATATATACCTAAGAAGTACAAAGGCTGCGAGGTGTGTGAGGAATACAGGAGGGGGCCACCTCAGGTTTAGTAAGGATAGATGTTTTTGTCTTGACACACAAGGGTGGAAACCATTTTACAAACCTCTATTAAAGCAGCATATTGCTGATGTCACAAATTATGTCATTTTTCAGCAAGCTGTTAGGTAGCAGCAGGATACTTAGAGGTCCCAATCTGAGTTCACAGCTTGAGGCCTCATCATCCATTGAAGTCAAGAAAATACTCCAGTCCCCTGGCCCTCTGTTTACAAATAATATATCAAGAATCAGGATACCCACAAATGAACTTTCAGGCACTGAGCTAAAGGAAATACATTTTTCTGTGCTTTTTTTAAATATATATGCATGCATACATGTTACACATTTGTCTGTATGTGTGTTTGTGTGCATTTGTGTGTAGTACAACCGAAGTCCGCAGTTTGCCATTAGATTTTCTTTAAACAAGCATTGTTTTTATTCCTTGAAATACAGACCTGATTCTTCATGACTAATTTTGCACACAGAACCCCCACCAAAGCTGGAGATATCCACATAGAAAAGGGGCATAAAGTGCTCCCATTCATTTCTCCTTCTTAAAATAGTGAGGTTTTTCTTTTAATACCTAGTACTTCTATAATACAAAAGAGCTCTGTTTAATAAGATACACATAAAAACAGATTTATCTATAACAGAGTTGAGTACAAAATAAAATAACAGGAATGTCTATGCACATATTCATTAGTACAGCAGAATAGCTTGTTAGAGGCTCTCATCATCTCCTGGATGAACCATATTTACACATATATATGTATTTTCCCCCACTAGAGTGGAATAAGCTATCATGTTTTTCTAACAATGCACATATACCTGGAAGACGATAGCCTACATTAGAAGACATAAAATACATAGCATGTGGCCTGAGGTTGTGCAACAACCCAAGAGAAGGAATTAAATTCAAAGCTAACGGTGCCAAACTCATCAGTGAGTGCTTTTACCCCCCTGTATATTAGTGGGAGCCAAAGACGGAGTGTCAAGGCACAGCTTTGAATTCCCTGACTTTTGCCAGTGTGTTAACATCACTCCCCGAACAGAATGAGGGTACTGGCAGGGATTTGGATTAGATGGCCAAGCAAGGCATTTGTATTCCCACACTCCCTAAACTGATTCCAGTATTTTGCTACTCATTTACTGATGGGGTTGGCTGTAACTTCCTCTACTGAAAATGGTATTACAGGGCTGGATTAGCTTCTCCTCTATAGCATATCCCTGATGTAGTTGCCACTGCAACTATCCCCCACTATCTGTACAATAAATGCTGTCGCTTACAGAAACATGATTACAGGATTAGAGTTATTGGGCCTTCACCCAGACGAACACGGCGAAATAGCATAGCACTGGCACCTCTGAAAGCTGCACTGACCTCAGGCATCTCTACATCAAAGGCCACGGCCACAATCTGAGCTTCATTAGCTTTCAAGGCTGAAGTTACAGGAGCACTACTTCCTCAGCCGCTAATGGGAAACACTCTCCTCCATTTGCTGTTGAGGTGTTAAAAGTTCCTCTTAACATCAGTTACTGAGCTACAGCTTCACCGGTATCCCAGTAAAATAAAAATGACTTGTGGTGCGGGAGCTGAGTTCAAATAAAAATGCTGTGTTGGACATCCCTTATTCAAGAAAATAGCAGCCACTGGTGCAGGGATGCTTTGGGAGTGAGGACTACAGGGGGAGGCGCGACCCCAAATCCCAGACTTGGAGCTATAGGGAAATTCCTGCAGCTCCTGAAGGGTTTCATATGGTTGTAACCAACTGTTTAATGACTTAAGTATCTGAAGGATGCTCTGGTTTTCATTTGTAGGATGTGATGCAGATGATTATGCAGAGAGGGAGAGCTTGGAGCTAGCTGCAGTTCAGAGCACGTGCACCATCGGGTCTGCACTCACCGTGAGAAACCTATGAATTGTGCTGATAACTCTTCTAAACCCCCCTTGCTGATCTGCACCTACAAGGAGGAGACTCGGGAGGTAGCATTTAATCCCACAGAGAGACAAGCTAGTCAGAGACAGAACCACAAGGTGGCAAAGCACTAGGTAGGATCAAATAGAAGTTTTGTTGCTAGCATACACTTTCTGCATGGAAATGTCTTTTAAATTGTGGTGCACCAAAATGTGGTTCCTTCTTACACAGCTGGAACATTAGTAATTCCTCTGTTCTGTCTAGACGATGCATTCTGGTACCCAGGTCACCACCATGTTTGCAGAGTCCTAGCATAGTCATTTGGGTCTTGCGTTCATTATCCTAATTGGATAGTAATATACAAAGGATGTGGTTTCATCATCAACTTGCACAAAGAAACCGGCTAAGTATCTAGGTAGCATGGAGGAAGTCCTAAAGCTTCTTCTCCATTAGAGTGTGAGAGAAATACCTATTCTGTGAAAATACTTGAGAATGGTAGGACATAGTCTATCATGGTGAGCCTAGAGAACTAGGAAATGGCTTTATATGAGAATGAAATGGCTGAAATATATCATTTGTGTTAAAAGACCTCAATAACACTGAAAAAAAACAAAAAGTAGAAGAGAGGCACAGGGCTCTCTTCTGAACAGAGTTGAAGCATTTGCTTTCCTTTCTTCAGTCCAACTAGCCTTCTGTGGTGCTTTGTCTATGGGATTTTCATTTTAATTTTTAAGCTGGCACGCAATAAAGTGGTTTGCTTATGAGTCTACAGACTGGGACAACTGGATAGGATGAGCTGGTCAGGTGCTGCCAGGGATAAGGCTAAGGAATTACAAGGCTGGCCTCTGGAGCTAAGCTGCTCCTTCTCTTCAGGAGGTAGGATACTTCCCCAAGGTCTGAGGAACTCCTTGAGGCTGGAAGATTTAGTGGGCTCAGATATTAGCAGGATCACATCTCAGCTCCAGAGTTTTCTCCAGATTGCATTTTTAATAAAGCTCAGAAGCTGAAGCTTCAGCTGGCAAATTTAACTTAATCTCTTGGGTTTCTTCTGTCCTAAGCAGCCTGTTCATATTGTCAGAGCTCATTGCAGTTTCTCAAGCTTTAGGCTGGGTTAGGAACTAAGGCATGATTAGAAACCAGAGTAAGAAGAATTCAGCTGATTTTCAGCTAAGCACCTTTTCACCACAAAGAAAGATTTACAAAAAGGCATTTATTTCCTAGGAAGTTGTCACTGGATTTCCTTTTAAATTAAATTACCATCACTCAAAGAAATAGGAAATTCCTCTTTATGTGTACATTTTTCATGTATTACTGATTCTTTCCAGGCTTTCCCTTTGCCGCATGCTCAGGGCAGTGACCCCCATCTCAGGCACTGCAACAGCTCTGTGACCAGCAACGGTTTAAGTGTTGCAGCAGCCACTGCTGCTATAGCAGAAATCCAAGCCCTTCACTTTGCAAACTCAGGAAGCCTGTGATGTTAATTAGAAGCACTCGTTCCTTTTACTCAGTAAAACCAGGGGTGGTGTGTAGCCATAGGTTGACCCAGGGAGGAGAAAGAGGACTCTTCTCCTTTTCAGCACCAGGAGCTGCAGCCCTTACTGTTACTTCACACGACACAAATGCAGCTCTACAGTCAATTCCATTTCCACTTCCCATTTCCATTATTTTCTCATCTGCCTCTCACTCTGGACCAGGGCAGCATGTAGAGTGTGGTAGAGTAAGTAGACACAAGAAGGGATGACAATGGTATTGTGGTTCAGGTGAGAGTGTTTCCTTTTAAAGCTGGCATGTTCTATAGAAGTGATTTACACAAATCTTTTACGTGACTCTCCTATTGTCACTAGCGATTATTACCATAACAATTTCAAGGTGCTCAAGGCTCTTTGGGAGGATCTAATCCAAAGCCTAGAAAGGCTGACAGGAATTTTAAACACAAAGTTTAAAAGACCCAGAAATGCAGATTCTAAGAATGTGTTTAAATAAGAAAATAAAATGAGGGAAGAAAACAGCTTCTCTCTTCCTCTGGCTTGCCAGCATGCTTTGACGGAAAACAGGGATGTGATCTCAGGAACACTTGCTCCAGCCTCCTGTTCATCAGTAGCAGGAAGGCCTGTCAAACCTGTCAAGCTCCTTGAGCTCCTGGGGTTTACAGACTTCTCTCAGCAACCCCAAGCAAAACCACAATCCCATAAAGAAGCCTTTTCAGTAAAACCTTCTGCCATTTGCCTGAAGCCAACAAACCACTCATTTATAGAAAAAAAAAATCTATTTCTCATTTGGAAACATCCCTTCCCCCCATGCTTGCTCTCTCCTGGTGAAGCCCCAAGCCATGGCCTTGGGGGAGCAGTTTTCTGCTGAAACCTGCCATTGCAAGGTATGTTAGAGCCCAAAATCTGCAGCCCATGCAGAGACCAAAGTCTTGCAGGTCCAAGGAGAGCCTGCCTTGAGTAAGGACTGCAGAAACGGCCACCTGGCTTCTGTCAGAGCTCAAGGTCAGTGTAGGACTGCTTGCACTCACTCCTGTCCCTCTTGGTAGACTTTTCTAAGCTACTTGGCTCCAGCTAGCTGCTAAGGTGTGCATCCCACGCTATTTGCTGAAAGGTCTAGAAGAGACTCCCAGGCTGGCCGCTTTGCCCTTCCTTTCATTCTCCACATTGCCTCATCCTCTCCCAGCAAGCTGCTGCAAAAATAAAAGCTCTCAGATCATCACCACCAGTCCCAGCCTTTGCCCTCATGCTCCTGGAAAGCTGCAGTGCCACTGATCCAAGACTCCAACTGGCCACAGCAGGAACCTCTGCAATTCTAGGGACCAGTGCTAGGTGATGGTATCTGATACAGTGATAGAAAAAGTCGTAGCCCCAAAGGAAGAGGGCAGATGGGAAGCAGCAGCCACTTTTGGAGGCATTATTGGATTTATTTGAGTTGCAGGGGCACATTCTGCCCTGAGTGATATGCCTAACTATGGGTTTGCCAGCTATTTTTCAAAATTACTTTGGGCTTGACCCAACTGGCATATGTCTTCAGCAATTATCTGACTAGCTAAATGTCAACGGGCATACCTTGATTTGTAGGTGGCAGATCAGAGCACAAGACACCATTTTTTCACGTACTTGCTAGGAGTAACAGAATCATACTCAAAGTCCATAATAGCAGAACCATAACAACACCATAATAAACAAATGCATTATTTCCTAATGTGAGCAGAAAGTGGCAACTTCAAGCTGCAGTTTATTCACAATATGGGAGACATGCTCTGGCAAGAGTTAAGCAGCCATCAATACACGTATCCTAAGGGCAGAAGTATAGCAGAAGCAAAAGTCTGTTGATAACACAGTAAACAACAATATCATGAAGACTGAAGCAAAACATAAAACATACCCTAAAATACAGGTTTTCAAAGCTGGCACTTAGCCTATGCTGTGAGCTGAAATTCTGTTTCATTTTGTATCTATTTTAGCTTAGCATGCAAAAATACACCTGTAGCCACCTGAATCAAAGCTTGAAAACCACGAACCATATTTAAGATTTAGTTTTCCAAGATGTATTCATGTGAGCCAAAGAGGGGTTTTTCCTACGTCTTAAGAATTAACTACAGACTGTTCAGCAGAAGCTGCAATGCTCATACTATGTGAAAAACTGTGTATTGCCAATATCAGACTTGTTCTTCTCTGGAGTGCAAAATATAAAAGCAAATTGAAAGGGACAGCAGAAGAATCTGACACACTTCCTTAAGACTCAAAGCTGCTGACTCCATAAGCAGGCCCCTTAAGAGATGCAAGCAGAAATATGACAGACATCATGAATTAATCTCCAGTTCATTACCCAAGGTCCCATGGACTGGGACTTCTCCACAGAAAAAGGACAGAATACATGTTTCAAGATAAGATGCATCACAACCATGGATTTTATCCAGAAATGGTGCATAAACCTATATGTTAAAAATCAGACACAACTACTATACTTGTTGATTTCCTATATGTACATATATGAAAGAATATGAATGTAGCAAGAACAACTGATAAGGTGCAGCGACAAAAAATGGTTGCTAGTCTTTAATCTCTTTTCCCTTATGTTTTATGCTTTTCTTATTTAAGAACAGCTGTAGTTCAGGATGAATAACGGCCACCAAGCCAGGAATCCTGTCTCCAAGGGTGCATGTGCTGGATGCCTAATGAAAAGGATAAGGGCATGCACTGACACTTCCAATGCACCTCTACAGCCCACTCACCTCCTCCATCTGTAAGGGGCAGTGAGATGCCTCAGCTCATTGCACCACCTCAGACCCTGCACCAGCAGCCGTCTTTATTTTGTCAGGATGAGAGAGCCCTTACAAAAAGTGTGCAAAACTGACAATCAGGACAACTATGCATTTACTTGTTACCCAAGCAAATAAGATGAGTAGTCACTCAGGCACAACCATGTACAAGTCAGTGCTTTGGATGTTAAGTCATGTTTTTCAGTATATCTGGGCTTGAAAAATGCAGAGAAGAGTGGGAAAAGGTTTCACAGTTAACATAAAATGAACCACATCCTCAAAAAATGTATTTATGAGAAGAAACATAGCCAGTACTTTGCCTCAGGTTCATGCACGATGTACTAATACAGGGGTGACACACAAGTGGATTAGGGGGAGGCAGAACAGATCTTAGGACTGTTCACTTTGTCTAGGAAAGAGTTGTCAGGATACACAAAACCAATGCATGCCTGAGGCAGCCATGTTGGCTTCTGCTCCACTGGAAAGGGAAATGTTTGCCACATGGAAGCAGAAAACATTGGCAGGAAAATAACTTTAATTTCCAAATTTTAAAAGGGAGTATTGCAAGCAGGAAGGAAAAAAAAAAAGGGAGCAGGGAGAGGGAGGAGGACAGGAATAACGTTCACCTGGACTCTGATTTCACCTTCAGGCTCTGACCCTACAATGGGTATGTTTGAAACTAATTTATTTGTGAAAGAGACCCTAAAGGCAACTTTTGAACACAGGATAGGGAAAAAGCAGGTGCACCCACTGCCTGTGGGCTGGGATGAGGATGAGCGAGGACTCCTTGGAGGAAGGCAATGCAGCTCACCCATACCACTTACCAGCACAGAGACCTGGCTGTTTACAGATTTATATGGCAACTCATATACATGTATACTGGGAAAAGGCAGTGTAAGAAGCCCCAGATGTAACACTCTGCAAATGTTCATCCTTCTACATTTCTTCTGGTTTCAGCCTTGTGTCAGCTTAGGACCCAGGAGAAAGATCAAAAGGCATATTTACGTCTAGGTAGCGCCATGAGAGACTGACAAAAGCTTATGAGACATTTTGTCTGATCTACAGCCTTCCACGCCTGTTGTCATTTGCCTCCTGAGCCTAATGGAAACCTGCCCTGGATGGTACGCTCGTTGTTATTGTTTCAATTTCCTTGTCTTTTATTTATTTCCCTTGCCTCTCAAGAGCCATTCGATGGTCCCTTTACTTCCTGCTGACCAGGGAAAGCTATGAGAACAAATAGTTATACTGGATTAAAATACACACACTATCACAAGAAAAACAGAGGGAAAGGGGCAGGGGGCTTGCTTAGCAAAGAGTGGTGGAAGTCGTGGGACAGAGAGCTGCCAGAAATACTGCAGTGGGGTTTTATGTCAAGACTCATTTGAGACTTGATCTCTGCAAGGAACAGAGCTTCTGAATTCTTCCCATGATGGTATTGCAACATGAACCTGCATATATTGAATCGGTTCAATGTTTCCTTTGGATTTTAAATAGAAGTTTGTTTGAAAAAAGTGCAAATGACAGTCCTTGGCAGTGTGAATTCTCCTACCCATGCTGATGGAGGAACTGGTCACAGCAGAAAGAGGAAAGCTTGCACACAGCAAGCATCAAAGGTGCTCCATTGACCATCATCTTCAAGAAAGACAAGAATTTTGCTAAAACGATGGGCATCATTAGCCCCCCATCTCTAGGGCAAATGAACCCTGTGGTCCAAGCCTGACCCAGGCTATGGCAGATTGTATCTGCTGTATCTGGAAATTTTTCTTTCTAGCATCTGTTAAAAAAAATTATTAACAGGTGCTGAAAACTGCAGCCTCCAACCTAGAGACCTGGAGCCAAAATACCAGAGGGGAAAAAGTCAGCTCTTGACAACCGCCTGACTCCAGGGTTGGACGAGCCAGAGAGACAATCTGCTGCTAGGGGAGATGCCAGATCAGAGGAGGGAAGTGGTAGCACCTCGTGCAATTAGGCTGGTTTTTCCTTTTTATTTTGGGTGGGTTTCTTTTGGAGCTACAAGTGGCAAGGGCCAATTCCTTGTCTCTTGTGAAGTTATAATCCTGGTGATCCCCGCTGGTGCCATTAAAGAGTTAGACCAGCTGATCAAAACAGGTTAGGCTGTTACTTGTGCAGCACCCAGAATGACAAACTGATGTCATGTAACGCTTGCTGTGTAAATGGCACTCTGCTATGTATGTATATCACAGTGAACACAAGAGAATAAATTCTTACATGCCATGTAATTACGCACACACTCATGTAAAAATGAGATGATGTAAAATAAATATGCATATAGCTATGCCTATGCCTATTCCAGCTCCTACTACAGTGTTACTGCATTGCCAATGTGCTGACATAAAAATGCAGTTTTATGTATTACATCTAAATAGAAATGTGTGAAAAGGGATTTTGTTTTGGCTACAGACCAGTCTCTTAATATAATTATAATTACTATTTTTACTACTACTGCTACTACTACTACCACAGTGAATTGGGAGCCCCCTTGGTTCTACCCATGGTACAAACAGCAAGAACAAGCCTGACCTAAAAAGACAGGAGAGATGAAAGAGGGAGAGAGGCAGTGTGATTTCTCCAAGCTGGATTAACAAGACAGAATATGCATGTAGAATTCACCTCTCTTAAATTCCGTTCCTCGGTGTGGCCTCGGCCCTCTCTGCTACTATTTCATACATGGCTTTCCTACGGAAAGCAAGAGGAAAACAAGATACTTTACTGATGCAATGAGGAGAGTGGATTGTTACAGTCAGGGTGGCTCTGCTCAGCATTTTGCAGCAGAGATGGAGGAACTAGCAGTGCGGGTTGGCCTGGGTGGCCAGGACTGGTGACCAGCGGCCATGGCCATGATGTCTGCTGCTGGACAGTTTCCCCGTGACACTGCAGGCCACTGTAGCGGGTTGATCAGGTCACAGACATGCTGCTAAATATGTGGAGGTAGGAGCCAAGCAATCATGTCTTTTCCCTTTTCTAACTTGCCTGCCTCTATTATGGCTATAGCACGAGACATTGTGCTGTGCTTCGGCCTGAAAATTCAGAGCCATGTCACTCGTGCTCACTCTTTGACAGTTGTCTATCTAGAAGAGGTTTTAAAAAATCTCTCCAAAGACAAAACAATGCTCCTTTGAGTGCCATTAGATGTGTCCCAGATCTCTTGTCACTTCATGCTGGGGTCTGTTGGGTGCTTTATGAAAAAGCCTCTAAAAGTGCCGCTTTCTTTCCAAGGCTGATCTTAAATGAGACAGGCTCACGGCCCACGCAGTTGGGAAGCGTCCTCACCATGGTCATTGCTCTATACCAGCACGATTGTTCAGAGGTTGCTGTTTTCTGCCAGCTCTGGGGCTCGGAAGATGAAATAAAACAAAATGAGAGCATCTCTCTGGAAAGAAACATTTTGAGAGGAAGGGGCAGAAAACGTAACACGAGTCTACTCAGCAAATGGCAGCCTGCTCACAAGGACTAGGAAAGCTGTTTGCCAGGAGGCCAAATGGATTGCCTGCAGCTCCGGGAAAAGAGATACTATTTAGTGCTTAAAATCATGTAAAGAAAACAAAGGATGACTGCTACATGCCTGCCCATGATAGTCTGGAGCACTGCGCTGTTGTGGGATATTTATGCCAAACAAACGGCAGCAAAATACCAGCGCGTCGATCGGGGTGAGCTGGTTGTGCACAGGCATGCCTGCGGGACCAGCTTCCGACAGCTCGCCACACGTTAGTAACGCATCGAACCCCGAGGAAGAAAGGACATCGTTCTCATTATCTCCATTTGCAGGTGTTGAAGGTGAGGTTGGGGAGATTTGCCACTCAGGGTATGTCAGAGCTGGGATAGGTCCCAGCTCTCAGCCCCATGCATAGACCATGCCTCTTGGAACAGATTTTGGGGAAGATTGTTATTTCTCTGACACAGAAGAGAACAAAAGAACACCTTCCAGCTTCCACTAAGGGAATTATTTCTTCCTACCAATGGGGTGTTGATTTGTCTTAAGGGCACTGTTAGGATTAACCAAGTTAGAAATCCACATTATCAATTAAAATTTACTATTGTCCCAAAGAGACCCAAATAAAATATAGGCTTTCTCAAGCAAGAATAACCATGTTTGCAACAAGAAGCATCATTTAGGAGGAAGCCCTTTAAACGATCCTCTGTTTTCAGTCTATGTCCATATAGGCACATATAACAAGTGATTTGCATGTGTACAACCAAAAAAAACATGCTTTGGTCTACATTCCCTCCAAATGCTGCTCTCATTTCAGACTTTCTTTTTCCAGGTATCCAGCATCAATCCTGCTCTGAACCCCTTCAACGTCAGGAGGAGCATGAACATTTCCTCCCTCATTACTGCCTTTCAAAGGCAGCCACAACCACAAAAACGAGACCTTGGGGAAGGAGATGGGAGAGGAGAAAATCTCTGCACGCACAAGCAAGGCCCCACCTGCCAGTTATCCTCCCCGCTTTGTTCTTTGAAGAGGCATCTCACCTCTTACGAGGGAAACAAGTTTATCATGTCAGTAGTTCCGTCCATGCTACCCTCACCTCCACTGAGGTGGTGACGCTTTAGGCCTGGCACTCCCTCCTGGAACTTTCCTGCTACAGAGTCAGTCCTGAACCAGACTGATTCCCTGGTCCCTCCCAAGTCCCACATCTCCCAAACCATCCTTTAAGAATGCAGTGCTGAGGAGATGACCATGACAGCAATGTGAGTTTATAACCTGACAACAGAGATTTGATCTGGAGTAGATCCCATTATAATCTCTGCACTCAAAGGCAGACTTGAGGCTTAAATAATCTTTGATTGCAGGGTAACATCCTGAGCATTACTGAATTTTAGTATACGATCTGTTCCTGACCTTTCTCAGCTGTGGGATGGAGATGCTCTCCCATGGCCCTGCTTGCTGCTTTACACCGCCTCAGTTAATAACACCTGCTGGAGAGACAGCAGCATCTCTTGGCAAACTAAACCTGCACAGTCTCGGGAGTCAAAATCTGCATATGTATAGAGCGCGTAAGTAATCATTAATGCATAACACGTCCCCTCTGGTCATTTAAATAAATTATTGACACCAGCGTCGCCAAGCAGTGAACCAGGTGCCACCCCAACTGTAGGTAAGTGTAAATTATCAGAGTGCTTCAAAAGCTCAAAACCTTATGAAAGCAAAAGAAGACTCACGCAGCACTGGTGGTAAAGACGTGTGCATGCACATACATGTCTGTGTATGTGCGCATGCATGTACGCACACTTTAATGTTTATACACCATCATGTTGTGACCTTAATCATTTGTTTTAAATGGAACCCTATAGCATCTATATGTGTACATCCAAGTTTTGCACTTGCCGTGCCAATTTTTATTTCCACATAGCCTACAAATTGCTTCTGGAAAAGTGTAATCCTGGTTTTACCTCTGTATTTTAAAAATCATTTCCCTGTGTATTATCTCTTCGCAGCTTTATACATTTATGCTTTTACTCTCCAAATGCCTTGACTAGAATGCTATATCCCTGAACAAAAATATATTCCCCCCTGCTATTTTTCTGCAGGAGCCTGGTTCATTCGGAAACAAGGAAAAAAGTACGAATGATTGTTTTTAAATTCCCTGACATGCAGAGCTCAGACAAGCCACAGATGCAAATGTGGAAAGCAAATCTAGTGCTGGCATTATGAAATGCCTGGGTTCACTGCGCTTATAAGCCCGCACCTTTATTTAGGCATGGTTGTAAGCTGCCATTTTGATATAATCTCTGGTTTTCTGGACCGGGAACACTGAAGCTGGCATGATACATCTACTGCAGGCCCCCACAAATACCCAGTCATAAATCAAGTGCCCTCTGTCAGTGCTGATCTATGCTTGCTCCCAGAGCTGGCAGCCACAGACAAGCCTGCGCATCCATGTCACCGTCAGCACACAAATCTATCCCTTTTGTCATACGGAAGCACCAGGGCCTTGGGCCAGCCCAGCAAATGATGCCGCTGTCCTCCGTGAGTCAGGAACTTGGTGTTGGTGGGAGGCACCCTGAGATGGAAGGTGCTGTGCCATGTTGGAGCAGTGCAAGGGTACAGGTGGGGTCCTTTTCTCAGGAGTTGAAGGTGGCCCTCCTCAGAGGAGCAGGCAGAAGGTGATACACAAGAGGCACATCCCTCTCCCCTAGGGAGGTCACAAGGGATGCCTAAGGACCAGCACTGGCTTTTTGCACATTCATGGCCTTTCAGCATTACCCTTTCCAGCCCCACATCTGGGCTGTGTCTGTCTCTGGACAGCCAGTGAATGGGACACATGTTCCTCTTCACCCCTGTCCCTGACGGCTTGTCAAACCCAAAGGTTCTTTGGGGAGAAGGGATGCTGCAAGTGATGCTTCCAGCAGGGCAGCAGATAAGATAGGCTTGAACTGGGCAGGAGAGCATGATTTGGATATTAGGAAAAATATCTTCACCAAAAGGGTGATAAGGTATTGGAACAGATTTCACAGGGAAGTGGTGGAATCACCATCCCTAAAAAAAAACATGTAGATGAGGCCCTTAGTGACATGGTTTAGTGCTGGACTTGGCCGCGCTGGGGGAATGGTTGGACTCCATGATCTTAAAGGCCCTTTCCAACCTAGCTGATTCTATGATTCAGGCCCATCTTTTCTGAAGCTCAGAGCAATTTTTTTCTTTTAATAAAAACCTCTACTCCCCACTTTTAATTTATTTAGATTGAAAACATGGGCAATGTTTCTTAGTTCTTCAACAGATGGACAGTCAAGAAAGGGTGGAAGCAATGCCTTAACTCCTAGGAAACTTGGGACGCTGCTTAGGTGGCAAAGTAATAAAAACAAACCAAACACTCATATAAAGGCCACTCATATAAAGCTGTATCTACCATTAAAGGGGACATTGCTGTCACTCTGTGTCCTAGGCTCTGAGGTCATAAAGGGTTGGCTGTGTCCTCAGAGAGCTCAAGGGAGAAGGCGGCTGAACGCCAACAGCATTGCCTTGCTTTCAAAGTAGTTTTTCCTTTCCCTATATCCTGGAAAAATCCCTGTGGATTTTACTCTCCTAATGAGCATGATCTGAGGGTATCAGATGAGATCAGTGTTTGTGTGGAGGGGAGGGTTGGGAACCAGGTGTGTGTACATGCACGTGTTATTTGTGTCTGGTGGGTTTTTAGTTGCAATTGCAGAAATGGTCTTTCTTTAGGGAGAACACAAAGCAGAAGAGGAGCAGCCAAGAGGCCGGTAAACTCACGCTTTACAGTGGCTTACGAAACAATGAATTTATGTGGCTATAAAATGCTGCTAAATCCTTAGCTTGCCAGCTCATGAACATCTTGGGGAGCTGGAGCTAGTCACCTCCCTGTTTTGCTGCCACAGTGGAAGAGCTCTGCACCCACAGTTCCTTTTTGTATTTGGGTTTAACATCCTGCCATTCCCTCTGATGTCTGTGTAAGAGCAGCCTGGTGCAAGACTGTATGCACCAAGCCCAAAGCTTCACCTCCGAGCACTGCCCAGCAGTCTCGTGTGCCTCAGAAAACCCCAGCTGCCACCTGCAAGCACCAAACCCCACAGGTTTGACAGGGGTTAAGGTTAAACTCAGTCCTGGGTTAGATTTCTCTAACCTCTGCAGAGTACACTAAATGGCAAAAATATCTGGCATGCAGATGTTGCCAACTAGAGAATAGAAACCAAAGTCCTGATGAAATAAATGATTGGGGGAAAGGTGTTCGCAAAATCCTGGGCTGCTTGCCCTGAGCCCTTGGTTGAGTGGTGGCACAGCACAACATAATCCAAGATTCCCAGGGTCTGCATAATACACAGTATTGAGGGAGACTTTTTCTGTGCTGGAGGAAAGGGAAAAGAAGATCCAAGGGTTGTCCCCAGCAGTTAGGCACTGGGGCCTGGCTGTTGAAGCCAGCAGCTGGTGCTGCCCTGGCTAGCCACCAGCTAACTTGGAATCTGAAGAGCTGCTCTGAGCCGAGCCTGCTTCCCTGCCCTGCAAAAATGAGAACATAAAAGCCAAAAGGAAGCCCCCTGAGAGGGAATCTGGGCTGCAGTAGAGTCAAGGCAGGGAATCCTTACCCTCAGTCTGCCCTGGCCCTCGGCAAGCCAGGGACCAAGGCTGGCACCGAGGCTGTGCCTAAGCCTGGGCTGGATTGGGTCCATTTGTGCTTGGTTGTGGTTTTCAAAGAGAAATTTTATGTCACTATGGAGAGTCTGCATTTTTTGTGGGATTCAAACATTCCTTAATTAGGTTTTGTCTCTTAGCAGAATGAAAAGAGGGCTTTTATTTCATTTTACTTTGCCATTTTAATTTACTCCCATTCCTGTTTAATAACTGAGTAGGGAAATGTTAAACAGCTACTGTCAAACTTTTGGTAGCATGGCCTCAACTTTCAAACACTATCTGCTGTCCAAGCTGGTGACAGTGGGTGTCTAGGGAGCCCCTTCCAGATTTGGGAAAGGGAAGAGCTTCCTGAATTTGCCCTGCTGAACCTCCTTTCCTCACTAATTCCCAAGGAGGCAGCTTATTAAAGATGAAAGGGTTGGCTGCAAGGGGGTGCAGCCCCCAGTAAATGGATATTAACTCCCTGCCAGCGATTAACAGCGTCAGCTTCAGAGCCTGACAGGTTGCTAGTCCGAGGGGGCAGGTACAGGCAGGGACAGGCAGGAGAAGCAAGAACAAGCAGGGCAGGCACGGGCACGTCGGACTAGCACAGACAAGCATGGGCAGGAGCCGCCGTGACCGGGCAGGATGGGCCATGACGGGGCACTCACGGGAACACTTGACTCCCATCCATCCAGATGGGGTTTGGGCGATAAAACACGTCCGATCTGGGAACCTGCCCCTAGTTCAGTTCCACTGAACGCCGCGGCTACGGGCAGGGGCAGGACACGGTGCTGGTGCCACGCCTGCTCCTCGGGGCCGCGCACACCAGGAGCTCTCACCAGGGCGGCTGTTCGGCAAATTCAGGCTCTGGGTTGCGTTGGGAGAGTACCGAGGGGTCCCTTCTTCTTTCTCCCTCCCCTCACGGGACCGACGTGCCGATTCCCCCTGCTTGCACCTAGCGCTGCCTTCTCCCCTGCACCCGTCCCCCCCAGTTTCCACACCAACGCTCTAAAAACAGCACCCTGCAAACTGCGCCGGCCCCGCTGCCCTGCGTAGCTCTGTGGACGAAGACGCTCCGGGACGGGGTCGGGGAGGAGAGTCCCAGTTTTGGCCGCTCAGTCCAGGGCAGAGGCGGGAAGAGAGTTTCCCCCCCCCCCCCCCCCCAAAAAAAAATCCCTGTCTATTTCAACGGTTTGGGTTTGGTGTCTGCTCTCTTTCTCCTGCCCGCCGAGAAGCGAGCTGCCGAGCTGGACCGCTCTGCGCCGCCACGCAAGCCCAGCGGCCGCGCAGCCACGCTCACCGCCTTCACCGTGCTGCCGCAGTAGAAGTTCCGGTTATCCCAACTGCGTCGCCAAGCCCGCCCCGCTCTACTTTTCGACCAGTAGAGATAGGATATGTTC